AAGAAGCAGACAATTTTTTTGTGTTCATCAAATCTCTCCTAACATAAGTAGATCATGACACCTTTGCCTGGTAACGGCTGTTTTGTTGCCCTTTTCAGCATTAGAGAGAAGTGTCACTATCACTGAGCACCGTTCTCAGCTTTCAGCTACTTTTGCCCACTTAAAGTGAGTAACTGAATTACAGAACCACATTAAAGGCATTTTGTTTTTCTACCTCTTTGATTGAAGATCAGAAGAAATCAGCTTATTTTTGGTCTCTGAAACAATATTCGTTTCTATCTCTCTTAAAATCTTTGGCCTGTTGGCACAATAGCAGCCACTAGACTGTGTAGAAAGCCTGTAGCAGAAACAGTGATCCTACTGCCTGTGCCTGCTCCTGGGAGAGCAGAAGAAAGGCTTCAAGGACAGCAGCATCAGCAGTTTAGGTTAAGCTGCGTCGTCTTACCTCAGCACACACCTGAGGTGTCTGTGCTCCGTCCACGAGCTCCTCTTTCCCTCCTTTGCAGACACACACATGCGGTGAGGTGTGTTTTGTGTGTGTCATTAACACTAAACCTTAAAGATGAAGCATTGGGTTTCACTTTCTCTCCAGAACCTGTTTTGAAACAAGCACACACACAGACATGCATGCTCACGTACACATTTACCTAGAACAGCCAGTGAAGGATATCACTTCCCAGTTCATTAGTTACACCTTGCTAGTACTGGGTTGGACTTTTGCCTTCAGTGCTGCCTTTAATTCTTCATGGCACAGATTCAACAAGGTGCTGGAAACCTTCCTCTGAGATTTTGGTCCATATTCAGATGAGAGCGTCACACAGTTGCTGCAGAGTTGTACATCGGCTGTACATCCATGACAGGAATCTCTAGCTCCATCATATCAAAGGTGCTCTATTGGACTGAGATCTGGTGACAGTGAAATCATTGTCGTGTTCAAGAAACCAGGTTTAGATGGTCTGAGCTTTGTAACATAGTGCATTTTGGAAGCAGCTAACAGAAGATGACTACACTGTGATGATAAAGAGTTGGTCATGTTATTCATCCCTAAATGCACTGAAATGTGGTTGACTGTTTAGATAATTACATTATTAAAAAGCAGCTAGATAAATGTATCTAATAAAGTGGCCAGGGACTGTATGGTTGCAGCAGCACCCTGCTACAAAGAAAAGTGACAGCAGACAAGACTTGAATGAGGAGCTGTGGTTGGAGGTGGGTTGCAAAAGAGCTTGCAGAGAAAGCAGCATGTATACATAGAGTAGAGCTAGCTGGTGTTTGTTGGCACTGAGATTAGGAATTAACCCGTGGTGTACTGGGATTGCATACTAAGTTGTTTGTTTTTTAAGTGTAATATAGAAAGTTTGGGGGGGGAGGACTGCTTGCATTACCTCATCTGTGGAAACTGCTGCATTTCAGAGTGGATATTGTTTCTGTTGTTCTCCACTCTCACCTTTCCCTGGCTGGAATTTTCCTCTTTTGTTCATGGTGAAGCCTCCGACACACATAAATATATTGCAGCCTTTTGTTGGTCTTTCCAGTCCCGCTGGACTCCGGGGTGGTTTGACACCAGGCTTGTTAGGAAACACAGAGAAAGTCATTGCTATGGTGACGGTCACAGTGACACCACTTAGCGTGCAGGAAACATACACACGGCTAAATTTGGCACAAAAAGTCTATATGTGGAAAACAAAGAAAAGGAGGAGAGAAGTTTTACAGCTTTGCAACATCTGAGCTGTAACTTTAATAGTTCTGTTTCCAGGTGATTTGATACTTAACAACATGTCCCATTCAGATACTGATCAGTATGAA